GAATGCCGTTTCTAAAATCATTATTATTATGATTTCAAAGTACGTTGGCCATAGCACTGCTTTATTTTCATACTAAGCTTGATTAACATTAATTAATGTTTTTCTCCAGAATGCATTTCAATTAATGGAAGGGGAAACAACTTACAGGTATTTGGATGAGGGACTAATTGGACTGTTGTTTACATTTCAGTTGAAGAATTTACACGTGCTTGAAAGTCTATACCATATATGTCTTGATACAATACGTGCCATAGCACTGCTTTATTTTCATACTAAGCTTGATTAACATTAATTAATGTTTTTCTCCAGAATGCATTTCAATTAATGGAAGGGGAAACAACTTACAGGTATTTGGATGAGGGACTAATTGGACTGTTGTTTACATTTCAGTTGAAGAATTTACACGTGCTTGAAAGTCTATACCATATATGTCTTGATACAATACGTGTTTATTATTTTCAATATTTACTGACTGCCTACTGCATGCCGAATACTCTCTTGGCAGGATGTTTCCTGAATGAGATCATAATTCACTTCAGGGATTCAGCTATGGATGTAATTTAACATGATTGGACAGAAAAATTACTCCATTAATCAAATTGATGTATTTGTAAATTAAAATATATGAATCACGATTTATGCTTCTATATTAATTTATTATTATAAATATTAGAAGTCTAGCACTCATTTTGGCAGCACATATACTAAAATTGGAACAATATATCGAAGATTAGCATGGCCGTTGCACAAGGATGACATGCAAATTTGTAAAGGATTCCATATTTTTAAAAAATATGTTAGAAATCTACATCTAGACTACATTAAATTAATGAATATCTTAATAAAGAAAAGATCATTTAAAAAATCCACTTTCAAGTTATTTAGCTAATGAAATTTATCCTAACTTTACCCATAATTTGAGAACACATTCAATGTGTGGGCTGTGTTTCCTTTGGAATTTGGCTATTGTGTAAAAGGATTGTCTAGTAATTGACACAGCACAGAACTTCCTTTACTGTAAAGTTAGTGTATGTTAGGGCACATTTCTGCTGAGCTGGTTCAGAGTGATTATTTTTGTCGTTGTTCTTCTTCTTGTGTTAATACTGCAGAATTTTTTTCATTAGGAGAAGCTGGCTGCAATTTCGCCTGTAAAATAGCCAAAGAACTTTCAACAAAAAAACAAAATTCTCTTCTACTGAATTGACCAGAAGGAGGCTCCCTTCCACCTCACTGCCCAAAGTTAGCTTTTATTAAAAGCTTCCAAACTGACTTCTTCCCAGGCTGTTCTAATGTTCCCCAAGTCTTCTCTGGTACTGGCAGGGGTGGGGATGACACTCTGAAATTTTCCCTTGGGGAACAGAATTTAAACTTGCATCACAAATAAGAAGGTTTCAGTGAATGTAAAGTACACTTTGCTTCCAACAGCTCATTCATAAATTTCTCTCCTAGTTGACCAACAATTAACAAAAATGTTAGGATAAAGTTCTCGTTAATTCTGGATTTCTCAATATTCCTTAGCTTAATTCTTGTGGTTTTGTTTTCTCAAAATTGTCCTTGAATATCTAAAAAGGTATTTTAAAAATTAATATTTTGAAATGAATCAGTAAGACATCTGGATTTTTAAAAAAGTATGTGTAGCTGTTGCCTCTACCTAGCTATCAATCTGTGTATAAGAGACACATGTTTTAAACATAGGATAATCACAGTTCACTCCAAATCTTCTCATTACACTGAATTTGATAATGAAGAAGCCACTAGTATATTCAGAATAGAGACAAAAAGTCCAAAATCTTTGGAGCATTAAGAGGGATGTGAAGATACAACCACCAATGTAGGTATACAGTGTCACGAAATCATTTTGTATCAATTGATTTTCAGGTTGTTCTCCATTGTCAAGGAAGGCAGTTTATGCGGTTATTGCAAAAGCTGCATAGTTGCTTTTTTGAGAAGCCTTGCCTTTAATGATGGAGCAGAGCTGATTATGAAATACCCAACTGTGACTAATTTTGGAGGAGTAACATCTCAAATAAATTGTCTCCTGGAGATGCTATTGGAGCGAGTGAACAGCAGAATGATGATGAGTTTATCTGTGCTAATTACGCTTTTGAGGGCTTAGTCCTAAACAAGGCATGCAGTAGATTGGTGCTATACTTCTAACCTCTCCTTGGCATGACAATCCCAGTTTTGGAGAACTGTGGTAGGCAGAATGATGGCCCCTGAAAATGCCTTAGTCCCTGGAACTGTGAATATGTTTTGTTACATGGCAAAAGGAGCTTTGCAGAGGTAATTAAGGTTATAGACATTAAGATGATTACCATTGGTAGGTGCAATCTAATCACATGATCCCTTAAAAGCAGAGAACTTTCTCCAGCTGGAGGAAGATACATTAGAAGAAAAAGTCAGATAATTCCAAGTGTGAGAAGGATTTAATGTGCCGTTGGTGGTTCTGAGATCTAAGGGGTCACATGAGAGGACTGGAGAGAAGCCCTCAGAGCTAAGGACAACTCCTGGGAAATAGAGACATGCAAGGAAATAGAGACCTCAGTCTTACAACTCCAAGGAACTGAATTCAGCCAACAATATAAATGAGCTTGGAATTAGATTCTTCCCCAGAGCCTCCAGTAAGGTGTGCAGCCCTACCAACACCTTGAGTTTAGCTCGGTAAAGCCTGTGTCAGACTTATGCCCTACAGAAACTATGATATAATAAATTTGTGTTGCTTTAAGTCACTAAATTTGTGGAAATTTATTATGGCAGCAACAGGAAACTAAATCATAGGAAATATTTCAAAGGACATGGTATTTGTGTTAGATTGTTACTTTGATGGGGGACTGTTGCAGTGAACCATACCTCCGTGAATTCAGTCCGATGACCCTGGGCTTTAGCTTCTGGATATTAACAAATGAGATAAAAACTGAAGCTTGAAGTATTAGTTTCATACTGCTGTTTTAACAAATTTCACAAATTTACTGGCTTAAAACAAAACAAGCTTATTATCTTATAGTTTTGTAGGTCAGAAGTCTCACTGGGCTAAAAATGAAGGTGTCAGCAGGACCACATGTTCTCTGGAGGCCCTGGGGAGAAAATCTGTTTCCTTGCCTGGCCAGTTTCTAGAAGTTGCCTGCATTCCTTGGCTCCTGGCCCCTTCCTACCTATTCAAGCCATCAGCATAGTATCTTCAAACCTCTCTTATCCCTGCTTCCTTTTTATAAGGACTCTTGTGGTTATGTTGATCCTTCCTGGATAATCCAGGCTAATCTTCCCATCTCATTTTAATTTAATCACATCTTCCCAGTCTCTTTTGCCATGTAAGATAACATATTTACAGGTTTTGGGGATTAGAGAATAAATATCTTTTTTAGGGGGGGTGGTGGCATTATTATACCCACTACAATAAAGTGTTAGAATCCTGGGTTTATACTCTTCAAATGCTCACTCTTAGAATGTTTCTTTTTGGAATCCAATTGCTATGCGGTAAGGAAGTCTAAGCTACCATGTAGATAGGCTTCCATAGAGAAGAATCAAGACCTCAGGCCAACATTCCCAATTGAGCTCACATCCAGCAGCCAACACCAATTCCCTGCCATGTGAGCGAGGCCACTGTAAACCTTACAGATAACCTAGTGCCCCAGCCATCACCACAGAACAGAACTGCCTGGTCACTCAGAGAATCATGAAAGACAATAAATGGTGGTTGTTATTTTAAGCTCCTAAAGTTTTTGGGTGGTGTGTTGTGTAGCAATGGACAATTGAAATAACACTGTAGTTCCTTTTATAACTACCTACCCAAAACTGGAGAATTCTGACTAGAGGAAGGTGGGTTCCTCTATCAAGTATTCGGGATTAAAAACATGACATAGTTCAAAATACGTAAAGTCCTTAGCTCAGGGCCTGGCACATAGTAGGTGCTATAAAAGTTTTAATTATCTTTTCTCAAGTAGTCTTTTTTAGCAGCAGACATTGCTACTTGCCTTCCTATTAAGAGTGAGTGTTTCTCTCTGTTAGAGAAATGCATTTAATATGGCACATAACAAAGTATAATGTATTATCTGATAATTTTGCTTGGTGGTTCATAATTTAAAGTTATAAAGCCTTTACCTGAACATTGTCTACATTTGTCCCCAAAATACCATTTCTCAGAAAATACAATGTCATAACTAAATTTCAGAATATGAAGTGGAGTCTTGCAGTTTATATTGTTTAATTGTGCTGTCACACAAGAATCTTAGAATTTTTCTTAGTTTGTTCAATTGCTGTAAACGACTTCTGAAAGTAATGTAATTATAACTTGTAATGGTAAATGCATTCATAGAATTCATGGAGCAAGCTGAATATATAACTGTTCATTTGCAGCCGAGTTGATTACCATTTGAAAACAGTTAATGATGTAGCTGATTAGAATACATTGCAGAGTCGTGACTTAATTTCATATCACCTAGAATAACCTGATACCATGCATGTTAATGGCAGTTTGGAGGCATAGGATTGACATGTTCTGAGCTAAGCAATATGGCCATGCTGACTCAGTGAAAAACTCACATTTCAAAATATGATGTTAAGTAATAGAACGCAACCTTATGTGATTAAATCTATCACCTGAGTATTAAATATGTGAGTGAAGATTATAAGTAAGGTTTAAGATCATTAAAAGCAATGCACTGTGAGATTTGGGTGGAAATCCAGCTCAGTGGACGCTTTCAAGTTTTCATAGTGAACTACTTGAATGGATTATGTTCATTTCATGTTCGACCTGCTTTTCTTCCTCCCCACCTCAGAATCTCCACATGGAAGCTAGAGATTTTCAAAAACTCACATATCTGTCATGTCATTCCCCTGCTTAAACTCTTTAGTGGTTCTTATTGCTTCCACATAAAGTCCACAATCCTCAGCTCAGCATACAGGGCTGTGTGTGAACTGCCACCACTGATTCTTCAGTCTTATCTCTTGACAGTTTTCTTCACCTTCTGTGACTCCAGACAAGAAGAGCTTGTAATTCTCTTTCTTCTGTAGAACACTTTCAGCCACATGATCTGGCTATTTCCTTTACATTCATAAATAGTTGTTTAAATACCACTTTATCTAGGAAGCCTTTCTCCACCCCCTTCCCCACATAGCTCTAAGATCAACTCCACATGCACCTGTAGTACCACAGTTTTACTTATTCGATGGTACTGATCAAGCTACATCACAATTGCTTGTTTAATTGTCAACTTTCCTCAATTGAGCAAAACCGCCTTGCAGGGAGTACTGTGTCAGGTTCATAACTAAATCTTATGCCAAGTTCAGTGCCTGGCACATAGAGGAACTCAATGCAAATTTGCTGAATGAACGAACAATGGAAATATTTATTCAAAATGAGCAGAATATAAAAGAATTGTTATCAGTGCCTGGCATTTAGTAGGCACAGGGTATGTGTTCATTTATTTATCCCTTATGGATCAACACTGCAGGATCCATCATTAGTTGTATGCCATTTCCCACTGGTTTACCATGTGTTATTTACAAAGGAGTAAGCTGTTAACTGTGTATTAACATCTTATATTTTTCTTGGAATAAAATAGGCTGGATTCTATAAAAACCAAAACTGTGCTTTCTCATTTCTAGGCCTTTTTGTTGTCTTACAACCTTTAACATGTTTCTGTTCAGATCTGGCTGGCTCATTCTTCTAATTTAGGTCTCAGCCCAAATGATTTCTCCTCAGAGAGTTTATTTTAACCACTTAGTCCAAAGTCTTCTCCTCCAGTTTCCAGTTGGGGATCTCCAGTAACTATCACATTGAGTAGCTTT